ACAGCTCGGCGAGTGTTGACCATGAGCGCAACACGTTTTGCCCCACGCTATAACTGTTTAGGGTCCAGGGTTCAGCCAGGTATGAGTCCCATAAGTTCCCTAACTATGGCATACATTGGTTTGTGAATACAAGTATAAGTGGGTGATACTAAGCAATCCTCCCCTTCAAGTATAGCAGTTCCTGGAACCCATTCCCCCTATTCTGTACATGACCCCAACAAACAAAACGTTAGCCAACGAAAAGGTGATGCTTAGAACCCTGAACGCTAAAGCCTTAAACCTCCAAGCAGCCATGCAGAAAAGTCACGGCCATCTTTGGGCAGCATCAGCAGCATCAAACACGCCGCGAACGCCCGCGACGTAGAGCTGGCGGCAAGCTTGCCCACAGAAATGCAACACTGAGGGGTTCATTAGACTTAGTCGGTAAGTTATCAGTGGGTTGGTAAGATTGCTAACCTCAATGAGGGGAAACCCTGAACCCTAAACCCTTGATACCTATCGTTTTACAGTGTTTTGCCTGATCCCTCGCATGGATGCCCCACCTCCTTGCTTTTGGATGGGATCTTCTTGGGGGGGCTTATCGTTCCCTAAGGGTCCAAGGACCCAAATAATGGGGTTTTAGGTCCCAACTACCATTCATACTATTTATAGTATTTGGGCCCTTAACCCACATTATTTGGGTCCTTGGACCCTTAGTGTTTCATGTCTGGATTCATCTCTGCCTAACCTTAGCTGCTGCACGAGAATAATGAAGGCGGGTGCTTATACTCGGGTTTCCTACAATTAGGGCTACCTTTTGAGGGGTCCCCATAATAAGGATCGTAGTATGTTGGGATCTATATTGGGGTCCGCCTATTTTGGGAAACTACCATATCAGTATCAATGGCAATACTACTTGTATCTGTATGTAGTATTGATTTAACGCCCCCTAAACCCTAAACCTTAAACCCTAAGAGCTTGGGATTTAGGGATGTTAGATGTTAGGAGTTTCGGGCAGCGTCTGGGCTAGGGTGCTACACAGAAACTTCAAAAACTACATCCTAATTAAAAAGTATTGCCTTGAACCCAAAGCCCTTACCCCTAAATGGTACTAGGACCCCTCATATGATCTCATATGCTTTAGGGCCTCAGGTAAGGGGTATGGGGGGCTGTGTGTAGGTTCGCTTTCTGTCTTCGGGCTTGTAGAATGGGATTTGGGCTTTGTGTTTAGTGTTGGAGGGCGGGGCGCTTAGCTTCCTTTGCGGCTAGGGCGAGAAGCACCTCACGCACCAGGGTCATCACGTCTTACAAGGATGCCTGAGCCCTAACGAGCTAGTTATGCGTCATCATAAGTCGCCCTAAACCCTAAACCCTAAACATAAACCTCGTCCTCATGTCGTGTTGCCGTAGCCTATCGACATGTCTTGGGACGCCAGGATTCAGGTTTCAAAGCCCTCTGAAACCCTTGACATTATCCCATCTAAATGGGGGTTTCCCCAAATTAGGGGTACCTTTCTGGGGGTCCCCATAATAAGGACTATAGTATATTAGAATCTATGTTGGGGTCCCCCTGTTTTGGGAAAGTACCATATAATCTTACGATGAGGTTCCGTAACTTATGAGTAGCCGCCGGGTCCCAGAAAGAGGAAATTCATTGGCCGGGGAATTGAATTGTCCTTAGAGGCCTAGACCCTAAGCCCTAAACCCTCCAAACTTATCCCTAAACTTCAAATTTCTACACTCTAAACCTCGAACCCTCACCCCTTAATCCTATGAAGAGTTGAGCTTCAATTTCCACAAACTCCGAAAGCCCATGTGAGGAAACAGTAGCTTGATCGTTTAGGGTTTATGCAGATCCCTGTAAACCTCAAACACTACAGAGCATACCATCATGAGGTCTATTTGGGGTTATAATTTCACAAGGAGATGAAGACTATAGTCACTTCATTAAGCCCGAAACCCTCTGAGCATCCCACTTTTCGTAGTCCGGCACCGTGTTCTTGGGCTAAGGCCTCGCAACAAATTTGTCAAAGAGAGTGTTGCGCTTGGAGTTTCGGGCGAAGCGCGGAGGATCTGGGGATCAAATAAAACTGCAGCATACATTTGCACATATCGGCCCTGAACTCCTAAGAAGTAACGCTCCAGAAGTAGCCTCATATCAAGGTTTAAGGTGTAGTAACCAGCCCTACTCTACGGGTCCGCGGCCACATTCCCAGTATACGAGTGATTGAAACTTTCGTATTTTTTAAGGACCAAATTTATGAACTATAATAAGCTACAGGAGAGGGACCCCTATGTCCACTGTTGAGCGTCCCTTATTAAGGCAAATTTTGCCAATAGCTCCTATGACCCTAAACTCAAGGCATCGGTCGCCCACCAACGATGGTGGGCGGCGCTTTTCCCCCTTTTGACCTCCTGGCGCAGGTCGCCCTATCTGGCCCTGCCTCAGCACAGCCACGAGGGCGGGCGGTAGCACCCACGTCAGGCCCGGAACTTGGAGGAGTTCTCTGCAACCGTAGACCCTAAACCCTAAAACCCTAAACCCCTAAACCAATAAACCCTAAACCCCTAAACCCTAAACCCTAAACCCCTAAAGCCCTAAAGCCTAAACATGTAGAGACCTCACAGGCTGTCCAGAGGCCTCGCAACCTTTGCAGGGGCTTCTTCATCCTCCCAGAGAAAGCTCCCAAGGCCATATCTTGGAGCAAGAGGTGCTGCCTGTTAAGATCTTTATGTTGTTGACCAAAATGGACCAAACTGAGTTCAGGTCCTAAACCCTGAAAGGATCACACAGCGTGGGGTGGGTGAATGTGTTAGAGGGCCAGCCACAGTCGGCCCAGGCAGCACTTCGCATGCAGCTGTGCACTTGAAGGGGCGCTTGGTCCCTAAGCATGGGTATATGGGACATCATTCTGTATTTTGAAAGTGCAGGCGAGCCTGTGACCCTACCCTCACACCTTCAGCCGCAAACCCTGAACCCTCTTTTCAGAAGTCAAGGTTTAGGGTTCAGGGCCAGCTTCCTGGGTTGTCGGGAAGAATCCGAGCACTTGTTTTATTAAAGGGTCCACATTCAAAGAAAATTTTGTGGGGTAAGATTACCGTCCAATGACTGGGGAACCAATCCTGAAAATCGAGATATTCAATACATTCCTATGCAATTCTTAAATAATAGAGGTCCAAGAGCCCAAATAACGCATTCCTACTTTTAATTGAGTTCCAGGAGCCCCAATCATTCTTTTAATCTGGCGCCCTCAATTTCTTATTCTAGCGGGGGGGGTGGGGGTCCCCCCAAATAAAACAAGTGCTCGGATTATTGGCACATTTTAAAGTAGAGAAAGGCACAAGACCCGAAGCCTTCAACAGTACAAAGCCGAGCAGAATGAACCCTAAGGCAAGCCTGTAAATCCTAAAGCACCTGGCCCTGTGAAACCCTGAAGCCTAAATCTCAGCCTTTCAAACCACGAACCCTCCAACCCTGGAAAACCCTCAAACCTAAATCCCAAATCTAGGAGCTCCTAGACGACTTAGTCTCTGCTCAGGAGAAAGCAAGATCCTCCTTGCAATCACACACGCGGTTTAGGGCTTAGGGCTTAGGCCGCAATTATACAAGGAAACGCATAGGCCAAACAAATATAGAGGATCCCTAACGTGCAACCAGATGACTTGCTGGTGGTTGGTGAGGACTGAAGGAGCTAAAAAGAACAGGACACGTGAACAAACTGCTTAAGCTTTCCCAAAGGGTCCATGTAGGTATATGGTATATACTTAGGGTTCAAAGGGGTTCCCATATACCTACTTTAAGGACCAAGTATATACCATATGGCTACATGGACCCTTTGGGTTTATATCTAGATATTTTGATGCTGTAAGGATCCACTCCTCCCTAAACCCCAAACCCTAAACCCCATTTCCTACTAACAACCCTAGAACCCTCAACCCCATAAGTCAGCTTTATGTTCTTTTCCGTCCCCCATTCCCTACTAACGACCTGTAAAATGAGGTCGTGGCTGTCATAATGACCTACTTGGTAACTGTGCAGTAACCAATTACAAGTCTCCGAAGTAAATTGGCTCAATTTATGACTGAACTATGCTCGCAATTACTAAGTAGGTTAGAGTTGCCCCTGAACCTCCTACTCTTATTGACTTTAGGGTTCAACATTAAACGCTAAACCCTGAACCCTAAGCCCTAAACCCTAAACGCGAAAACCTGGACCCCCCTAAACCCTTGACCCAAGGCCCTGGCCATGTAAGCCTTCCGCGTCTTTGCCAGGAGCACGACGCCTAGCAAAGTGGGAACCCTACTGTTTTGGTTTTGGGTTTTGGGTTTTGTTTAGGGTTTAGGGTTTAGGGTTTCAGGTTACACTATACTACCATATCGCAATCCCCAAGGTTTAGGGCACTTAAGGTCACCCTAAGGGTCTGGATTGCTTGGGCACGTGGTTGAAGCTTCGGCATGTGCATGTTTCAAGTTCCAGGGGCCCAGGGGGCCAACAAGGCTTGTTAGAGGTTTTGCATATGTTTTTCACCCCACACACAAACAAACCTCATGAACATACACCAAAAAACAGCTGTCGCCGACCATTCTTCCATTTTGCACAGTGTTGGCACACGGTGGCAGTCATGCACACGCATGCTGATTTTCAACATGGCGAGACAGCGTGGACTGCCTACATGAATAACATTTTGGGCTTTGCAAGGCTATACAGTTTGGGCGTTAAAGCTGGCTTTGCATTGCACGGGCAGTATCCATATGGACAACTTGTATGGACCGCCTTCCGTTGTAGCAACAGATTCAAAATAGAATAAGGTTTATAAATCCTAGTTAGGGTTTAGGGTTTAGGTTTAAGGTCTAAGGTTTAGGGCTGAGGTTTTAGGTTTTCGGGGCTATTGGCTTGTGTTGCGTGACAGTCACATTATAAACCTTTTCGGATTCGCTCAATATCGAGTTACAGTATGGGAACTCCATGTTTACTCGATTCTGGGTCAAGTCTCTGCCTACCATCTGCCTGAAAGTTAACATCATGCAGGCCCCAGTCCACGCATCATCATGCCAAAACGAATCTTGTAGCGCTGCAACAACCTCCTTGGGAGGCTAGCACGGTGACAAGATTTCGCCATGCGCCCGATGGCTCCTATAAAGGATTCTGCACAGAAAAGTGTTTGGTATCGTGGGTTCAAGCGATCCCTCAACACTGTATCTGTCAACATGTGGAGCATATGGTGATGCTTCGGCAGGAGTAGCCAGCAGTTCCTGTTGGCTGACTGGGCGCCAAGGGTCCGCGAGGATTTGTGCCTTAAACTGCTGTACGTCTGCAAATGGACCAGGCCCAACTGATAGATATGGCCAGCTGTGGCATCATCCAACAAAAGCGGGGAAACGTCAATCATGCGCAACATCTCTGCGTAAGTCACCATGCACTTCGCGCACTCCCTGTCCAAGCTGCTAGCGTGCGGTAGACGCGCGAAATCTTTTGCAACATCAGCCAACCAGTACGAGAGGGCTTTTGAGGCTGCGCCTTTCGAGCTCAAAGAGGGGAAAAACGTGCGACCCTTTCTGCAGATCCTGGCTGGGGTGAAGCGAGGCTGATTAACAGGTTTGGTTTGCTGCCGATTCCATGTTGTGAATGCTTTGAACGCCTTGTTGAGGGCAGTGCTCAGGGGCTGCTCATAGGGCCCTTGTAACTCTCCGAACCATCCGCGCTCGCAGAGATACGTAAGCATCGAGCCTAGGTTGCCATCATGAGACACACCAACAAATCTGAAATAGAGGCTTTGGGAGATTCTTTTACATTTGCAATCTGTGAATAAGGAGCCTGCAGGACAATAAGAAGAAGTCCACACGATGAACAAAAAAACACTACGAGAAGAAGCCCCAAACCCAAAACTTGAAACCTTTTTCATGATCGAAGAAGGCTGCGCGCAACTCTTCCATACATGCGCAGTACACCCAGGTTTTTCCAGGCTATATGTACTATAACATGATCCTACCATGTCAAGCGCATATGCGCTGCTAGTTTCCTACAGGGTTTAAAGCATGTAGATCCTGGTGCTACTCACACTATAATTAAAGTAAAGATTCCATTGGTGACTTTTCCTGTCCCCAGCAGTTGACTGTGTAGAGGATCATGAAGCACACGATCGTAGCGAAACCCAGGGATTGTAAAAAAAGACATGTCCTTAGATTGGGGCCCAAATAAATAAGAATGTGCTATAAACAAGCGTATGCCAATAGGATCACCGTGGGAAGCAAGTGCTATCCAAAGCTCCTGCATGCGCTTAACAAAAAATGTTTGACTCGATCTGGATGCACGTGTAACATATTTACTGTTGCACGCAAGGTTCGATCCTCCGCAGCAGTTGATTGGATGTAATCCTCGTGTGTGATGCGCATCTGCATGTGCGCTGCTGTAGGTCGAAAATCGCTGATTGTGTGCTCGATTCGCCCCGCCGGATCACGTTTGACCACATTGCAATATGAGCAGAACTGGTTGGCGTTGTAGTCGTGTAGATGAAACTTTTCTTTCACCCACTTGAGGTCACCAGTGACCGAGCTGAACGTGAACTGGTAGCCTTTGTCACACCATGGCCAATCTGTTTTGGCTACCAGAGATCGAAATCGGTCTGCCACTTCTTTGCTCAAGTCCGCCCAGGTGTCCTCACACTCCAAGTATTGCGCGTAGGTGGCGATCGGAAAGTATCGCTCCAAAGGGCCGTGTTCGGCTGTGAGGTAGTCCGTCGACCAGGCCAGGACAGCTACCACTCCGCATTCGCTGTTCTTGTATGTATAAATCTCATCCCCGTAGCACGTGACGGGGATCAATTTGGACCGATCTCCGCGGGCGTTTGCCAGCATTTGGGATCCCCATGCGGTTTGCTCCACATGCTGCCACAGCCTACTGGAGTCCTGATTCCCCAGAAAGAAATATCTGAAATAAGCTTCGCCCATCCGCCAAATTTCCAGCGCAAAAGTGTCCGGAAAAAGACAAGGAAACTGTACGGCCTTGACCTCAGCTGTGCTGGGCGTCACGAAACGCACATTTACACACTCGATCGGCGCCTTGAATTGAAGGTTCTTCAAAATTTGGTGTAGGTCCCGTTCTGCGTTCGAGGCATGCTTTCCACAGGTGCCAATCTTGGCCATCCGATCCAGCATCGACTTGGCCGGCGTCTCTCCTCCACAAGCGGCTGTGTGACGAATCGCAGCAGCGGCAATTTGTTGCACCTGTACGGGTTGGGGCTAAAGTGCGCAAATGCATCGTTAACTGAATAATAGCTTTAGGGTTAAGCTTATATATAGGGTGATTGCTCATGCAGAATTCAAACCAGACGGGTTACTTCAGGCAGGCAGGCTGCTTTGATAGCTGGCGTTCTGCCTTCAACGAAATCTGTCACCAGGATATCATCCAAGCCGGCGATCAAAGCCTGCGCGCGCACAGTTAGTGGCTACAACTCATAGCTGCAGAATTAAATGTTACTCGCAGCCTGTCTCTTCAATGTGCGCTGCTCCTCCCTGGCAGTTGGTAGTGTTGACGATGTTGCCGCAGGGTTGCCTGCGCGAGAACGCAAGCCTCTACGCGCCCCACCGCCCAAAGCTCATGACAATGCATATCGTTAAGGCCTGTACGTTGCTCAACGGCAGGCGCAGGCTCAACCTGCGCAGCATCAAGCGGAACCTTCTGTACGCAGTATGCATGCGCATTAAAAAAATGAACATTCTATATGTATTATATATAATACCTATATAGCCCCTAGACCCTAAACTCCCTAAACCCTATAGCGCACATGCGCTGCCACTATTATCATGGCTATGCAGACTCCACATCTCTCTTCCAGCCTCGTCATCGGAAATATGAAGTCTGGCCAGCTCTGCGTCTGCGCGGGAGTACACGTAAGCATAAACATTATGATTGCAAGCTACGCTGCACGTTTGCTGACTGTCCATGCCACACATTGCAAGCGTGATCTCAAATCACAAACTGCTCTTTTGTGGCCCTTGCGCTCACGAACACAAAGGATCTTTGACCCCTTTCGTTTTCCCCAAGTGTAATTGCACAGATGCGCACAGCCGCAGAATCAAGTCTTGGCGCTACTGCAGTGTGTTCGTAAGTTGCTGGCCTCGATCCAAGGGCTTGACGCACATGTGTCTTTTGCAAAGTGCACGCTACGGGTCAGGCTCACGTCCACGCACGTTCTTATCACTTGCTAGTCTCGCCGACTGTCTCGCCATCCTTCTCCACCTCGCACGCGCGTTGAAGCATGTAATCCCTTCCCCCTAGTATTACGAATATTAAATGATAAATTCAGAGGCTTGATCCAGAAGACTAGTTTTACAAGGGGAAGACTACTTTTGAAAGGGGCCCCTAATAGTGAATTAGGGGGGCTTTGGGGTCATTAGGGGTATATAAGAACAAATACAAAGGAATTAAGGATCCCTTTCATTTCCAAGGCTTTGACTACAATTTGCATATGGTTTAATAAAAGATTGTATATACAAGAAGTGAATGCGATTTTCATTGGTTTTAGTACGTTTTTAGCCGTAATTACTTAAATCTCAATTGAATTTCGTTCGGGTTCAATTGAGTTTAAATGGGTTTTAATCGATTTCAATTGGTTTTAAACGGAATTACAAAATAAGTCACAGTTGCAATTTTAATTCGATTTAAATCGATTTTAAAGCCATTAATTCAATTTCAATCGATTGCAAAAGCAATTCTAATCAGGTTACGATTAGTTCTCAAAGTATTTTAATTCGACCTCAATTGATTTTAACGGGATTCTATTTCGATTTCAATTGATTTTTCAATTATTACAGGAAGTAAAAACATCACCTGATTTTAACCGGATTTTAATGTGATTTCACTTGCATGGTTTTAAAGTGAACTTTTATAAATTTCACTTGACTTGAAAGTGATTTTAAGTTTTCAATTGATTTTCATGGGATGTTAATGCGATTTCCATTGATTTTAAAAGGAATTTCAGTAAAAATCATTTCGATTTCATGAAATATGTAATTAGGTCTCAATTTCACTAATTATTTCAATTAAGTATTCATTTTCCATGGAATTTAAGCGGAGTTTAAAGGCAGCCCTATCTAATTCCAAGCAATAAATATCACCCCCTAATATTAAATATTTCTCGGGGCCCGGAGTATTTTATATTATACGGGTGGGGGGGACGTTCTTTCATATTCAGGCAATTAGTTGAAAATGCTGCGAGTGAGTATCCTGGCCCCTATAGTCCCCATGCATGATGAGCGCCTTCTTCTTGCGGCCGCCTTTGTCCTTCGTCAACTTGGTTGCCGAATCCGCGTCCTCCTTGTACAGTGCCATACGATCGACAGCAAGCTGCACGGCAGCCTGGAAGCCACGCATGTTCACCGTCTCGGGATCCTGTGCGCGAGGGTTCAATTTCATGCCATGTTTTGCGTGCGTGCTTGTAATTTCCGAGAGTTTCGACTCTCAGCTTATACGTTATAATCATTTACATATGGATTCCAGCTGCCTAAACAACTACTTTTTTATGTAGACGTACTTTTGAAATTGCCCCATCCCTACCCATGTACAGGACTTAACTACAAAGAGGCACACAGCAAACATGCACCTCCTTCTGATACCGCTTCAGCTGAATGTACGACTGCTCCAGCTCTTCGATGTGCGCCTTCAAGGTATCACCTTGGCTCGTTGACACATGGTGTGGGAAATTGATGCGGGAGCGCTTCTGTACAGCTAGAAAAGGCTTCCAGATAAGAAACCTGTAAGTTGCATTGCAATAGCTGAACTTAAATTTTACAGCCTGGCGGTCGAACCTTGAACCTGTGAGCAAAATTTTGCTGGAGAAAGACATCACCACGCTTAAGAAAGCGCTCATAGCGCTGAGAGCTCACAAAATTCTACAACACAACATCTGCTGCAGTGCCAAAAAAATGCGTCACCTAGCTGCAGAACAGTTGCTTCTTACACAGACTGGTGCCCTGAATGCTACAAAGATGGTCATCTGAGAATAGTTATGACAAGTGGCTCAACTTGTCCTGGTGCTTCATGGAGCCAAGAAGGAGTGGCCACATTTTCGCTTGCTGCAAGTCTGTGAAAAGCATTGGCAGCACCATGGGACAACTCTTTCGCGGATCTTGCGGCAGCCTGGGACATGGGCAGCACGCAGCAGTGGTTGCCAGGGACATGACTGTGCTTTACTTGGACACACCTGGCTAAATATCAGCAAGGCACGGCTCAGGCTCCTTCTTCCCAGACTTGCCTGCACCCTTGCCCTTGCCTTCACCTTTACCCCTGCCACCTTTCGCACCCTTCCCTGGGTTGCTGTCATGCGGAACCATCGGAACACCCGGCTGCATGGAGGAGCCGGAGAACAAGGAGCCTGCGTTTGCGCCGAGCGCGCGGGCAGCGTCAGAGCTTGAGGAAGCTCCCCCTGTAATCTTCATCTCCAAGCGGTCTTCGCTCTCCTCAAGATGGGAGTGAGTAAGCTCGATGGTGACCTTGGCCAACCAACCACGAATTTGCCACAAGGAAAATGCACACAGCAACCAAAAACCTCACATGGACCGAAGCTTAGCTACGAAGAAGAGTGTGAAATCAGCATTGCCAGCAAAATCGGGGTGTTCGCGATAGTGGCCGAGGGAACGTTTCCGATCAATCAAGGCGTCAACTGCAGCCACATCTCCGTGATACATATGCAAGAGCTGTTGACGTGTTCTCCATCCTGAGATTGTAATAGTCTAGCTGGCCACACCAAGCAACTTCAACAACACCTGCATGCTGACTCAGCAAACATGATGTCTAGCTAATAAAGCGGCCACGCTTGTGCTTGCCCTGCTCTTTCTCAGATCGGCTCACGGTGCGGGAAATGTAAAGCCTGCAACAATGCTCACGTAAAATCGAAAAAAAGGCTTGCCCCGGATCTAAAGCTATGATGTGGAAGACTGAGTTCCACACTTGCCCCAGTCACCACCCGCGTCCAGCCACTTCTGGAAAAGGGCAGTCTTGGCTTGCCGAGTCCCACTCGCGCACGCAGTCTGCCAGAGCTCTCTCAACTCTTCAGGAACCACCTCCGTGGCATTCTCGCCTGTGATGGCCCTGCAAGCACATGTGCTTTGAAGCACTGTGTTCATGAAATGGTTTGAGCCATGAACGTGAAAGCGCTCACTCTGCAGCGCTGGACTACATGCCTCCGGAAACAGGCATAATGGGATTGTCGCTGCTTCCCGTCAATTGGGGCAATGGGCACAGCCTGCTGTACATATATCAAACGCACATGGTGTATAAGCCTGGCGTGAAAAACATGCATCATCAAGCCCAGTCACTCCAGGCGCGATGCTTACGGTCGGAGTGCTTCCAGCATCCGGCTTGCTTCCCTCCGCAGGCAAGCCGTTTGCTGGGGCAGCAGCGGTTGTCAAGCTGGGTGGAACTGCTGTGCTGTTGGGTGCCTCGACTGGCGCAGGAGTAGGGGCAACGTCAGAGGAAGCGGGCCCTTTGTTGCTGGGAGCTGCAAGGTTGTTTGGGAGCTCTGTGACAGCAACGTCACAGGGGGCAGCAGGGGCTGGCAGCGCAAGTGGGTTTTCAGCTGCCTTCACAGGCACAAGCGCCAGTTCACAGCGCTGCTTCTTGGAAGGCTTCGGCGGGTTCTGTCTGACAACCGGGGCCGCGAGGTCTGCTGGCCGCTTGACACTTGTGGCTGGGCCCACTTCCTCCTTCGGAGGTGTTGGGGGCCAGCTCTTCACTGCGCTCGGAACCACAGTCTTGCTTTCTGCCAAGCGTTGGTTTCCGTCCTGTGCGGAAAAAATCAAGGAAAATACAAAGAAGTGTTGCATGAAACAGCAACTTGGCTTGGGATGCACACATTCCGAGTCCTGCTGCTTAACCTCGGCCTTGCTTGCAGGCTTTGGCGTAGGCGGCGTCATCAGCAAGGGCGGCGCAACCGCACTCGAGCCAACGCCCTTCCCCTTGGCTGCCTTGTTCTCCACCTTACAAGGCGCTGCAGGGCTGTTGTCTGAAAGCACAGCTTTGCAGCGCAAGCCAGCTCCTGGCGGGGACGCAGCGGCAGCTGGCACGGGGGTTCTGCTGGGCTTTGGTCTCTTGGCCTCCGGCTCCAGCTTGGTCTGGGGGGAAGGCACGGGCGGGGAAGCACCTTTAAAGGAGTCTGGGCTGGGAACGTAGTCCAAAGAACCCTGGCTCGCGTTCGTGAAGGAAGAAGAACAGAAAGACCTCACTT